AGCTCGCCCAGTCTGTTCTGATGAGTCCACCACCTTTACAGCGGAACATCAGTGATTATGTGTTACAATGGCGTTTGTTAGCAACCAGAAAATGACACCAGTAATGACGAACAGATGAGAATGCTGCGTGGGGTCTGGGTGCCGTGTTGGCGGGAACTCTGAGGCTCGAGGAGCGGACAGTGTGAGCTGTATTACTGTTGTTGTTTCCTGGTTGCTGCGTGGGGTCTGCGAGACAGCGAGACACCGCGGAACTCAGCCTGAGCCCACACACGTGAGTGGGTGAAAACAGCGGCGAAACCGCGGAGTACCGCGGCTGAGAAAAGATAAGGCTGAGTGAGTGTGTGTGTGTGTGAGGAGCTCCACTGATTGGTCCATTTGGACCTGGGTATCATGACATCACTATACTCAGGAAGAAAAAAATTGAAAAATAGAAATCTCCAACGAGGCGTTCTGGGGCAGCATAGACAGGTATTTTCTGTGTTAGAGTTTTACTCGCTGCAGGGTGTAGCCTACTTTGAGGTTTTGTGACTCTGCAGACCGTTTACATAAAAAGCTACATAACACACAAGGGGACGGGTAATGACCGGAAAAGCATGGCATGGGACCTATAAGCCTTTCACCATCTTCAGCTAACTTCACCGGGCTTCAGGGTGAAATGAAATGCTCTTTAGTCCTTCTTGCTTCAAACTCAACCTGATTGTCTCTCAAAGTCTCGCAGTGTTTAATCATTATCTGCTGAAGGAGGCCTCTCATGTGAGATGATTTAGTTTCTGTGATGGGATTTTGAGCATGAGACAACTCATGACATGTCACAATAGGGCACTGCCAAGTTTTTGGCATGTTCATTTGCCTTTTTCAACACAAGATTTGGCTCCCATGTGCTTTATGGTAGTGACAATAGAGACGCTTTACCTTGACTAGTTAAGATTAGGATAGGGGGCTTGGCATTGAGTTTCTGTTTTGGAAACAAAATTAAACATGACTGAATGAACAAAAACACATGACTGAATGAACATCCCTAGTGCATTATTTTTTTCCTGTTCAGTAACTCCTTCAGTCCAAAAATTGATCTGACCACACACTTTATCATAAGTTCTCTCGCAGCCACTCAGCTTTGACTAAAACACTGAGTGTCCTCTCTTGTGTCTCTTTGGTGGTCTAACACAACCAGCTGTGAGTAAAATGAGAGCTTACTGGTGCCACAGCATGAAAGTGTGGGCCGTACACAGCTGTCTCACTCTGATGTGTGAGCAGAGACCACTTACACTGACAGTCTTCTTGTTTTCTGATATGATATTATTTTTTGGCTCAGCAGTCACCAGCTGCTGCTACAAAACCCACCTGGTAAAGGTTTCTGATTGTGTGACAACAGTATGTTAATGCACTAAACAGGAAAAAGTACTACAATATTCAAGCCAGCTCACTCAAACATGACATTGTACGGAAATCAACAAAATTGCTGATTTCAACTAGTATGGCCCACCGTGTCATAAGTCCAATACATCCATACACTTCGCTCTGCATTGGCCAATTGGCTCGCTTCTCTCTCAGTGCAAGTGGTACCCAGGTACCTCTCTACAAAAGCACGCCTGTTTGATATCCTAGCTCCAATATGGTGGAACAAGCTCCCTATAGATACTGGAAGTCTACACATCTTTTGTCGCAAACTGAAAACCCAACAGTTTCCACTGAACCTTGGCCAATAAAATAGGGTTTTTCTGCTCTGTACATAGCACTTGGAACGGTTTGGTTTATTTGAAGCCAATTAAGTAGCACTTATGGTTTGGCTTATCGAGATATAACGTGTGTCCTAAATTATGCCGTGTTGGGTCATGGAATTTGAGGTAATAAGGCATGAAGAAAGTTCTTGAGTTTGAAGGAGTGGAAACCCTGTGAACAGGAGAGAGAGCTGTCAATAATCTAGCTACAGGAAGTGATGTCTGTAGCAGGCCAGTTGGCATTGAGAAAGGTGAAGAATGTGGCCGGAGGTAGTCAATCAACTTCCTCTTTTACCGGGTAAATACAGAAGGAGGATGTAACAGAGAACCTCCACCCATGCAACAAATACTTTGTTTAGTTAAAAGATTGTTTTAAACATCAATGATGCACTGAACAAGCTTTTCACAATTTACTTAAATACACTATTCGAGATTTGATAATAACACATGCAGTTTGCTAGAATAATGTTAACAGTGGGTCTGCTCACTAAACAGACACAATCATTAAATACACATTTTGATCTGAAACACCCCATAGATGAATGCATACTGAATATTATTATTTTAGTATTTGTATTATTATTTCTTAAGAACATTTTATTCATTGTATTATTATTATTAAGCTTAATGAATAATTAACCATTCTGAAACCAATCAAATCGTCAATAAAATGTAATCCAGCTCCTGGGAGGGAAGTGTCCTGCTGAAAGAGCACCTGGAGGGGGGGGCCACATGGAGGAAAGGAGCCCCCAGCAGTGCTCGGTGGTGTAACTCGACGCTTCAGGAGTTGCCATCATCACATGGCAGATGGAAATTTCCACTCAGTTTCTTGCTTGTTAAATGGGAAGGGTCTCCAACTCTTGTCTCAGTAGTCCGCCTCCTCCTCCGCCTGCTCCAGCTGTCTACCACGCTGAAACAGGAGGTAAGCCCCCAACATTTACATATCAATTCCTTACTTTTATTTTTTCAACTACCCCGCATGTGATTTGCTGCTTAGTTTTGACCACCATGTTTGATTTGGGTGATTTATTTCATTGGTTTTGAGAGGATTTTACAGCCTGATTAGACAATTCAAGCAAAAATAAAGGGCTCGTTTTGCGCGTGAGTTGAATGTTTTTGCGAAACCTCCTTGTTGCTCTTCTTTTGTAAAACATGTCAACAGATACGTTCACAAAGTAGCAGTTGTTTGGGTGAAAAGCAGCAGCCTGTGGAGCGCTTCCTGCAGGGTGTTGCCTGGAGTCAATAAAGCTGCGTAAAGCACGCGTCTTTATTTATACAAGGGAATTAGTTGATGCTGGGCGATCATGTAGTATCTGCTTTCCCTGCTAAATACATGATTGCATTGCAGTCACCAGTTGATATAATGAAGGAAAACTACACTTGCATGTGTTTGCATGCTGTGCTGCTTTCCGCCTTTACTGACAGAAAACACAAAGGCGCCTGTTGTTGTTTCCAGTTTGCGTCACTGGTCCTGCTTTGCGTCCGCTCACATTGTGTATGTGCAGCTCACACATCATAGCAATTCAATGATTGGGAAAATACCAACAGAGGAAAACTATCAATTACC